TAGTAATGGAGACAAGTGTAATAATAAAAATGCTTATTTAACTCAGGAGAAGGCAAAAACAAAGAAGGTAAGAATGAATAAAAAAGCAAGACTTCAAAACAAAGAATAACATCAGAGTTATAGAAACAAATAAACAAAATGATTTCTGTTACCCAAGAAAATAATAGTGCTAAATGTATGTAACAAATGATCATCAAAATATATGACATAAAAATGGAACTGGGCTGGACAAATTCACAACTACAGATAGAAATTTTCATACTCATCTCTTAGTAACTGATGGTAAAAGTAAGCAGAAAATCAGTAAGGATATGGAAGAACTGAAAACACTATCAACCAAGCTGGCTTAATTAAAATTTCTAGAACATTCCACCCAATAATAGAAAACTCATTTTCTTCAAGTGTATACATAATATTCAATAAGGGAAATTATGTTGTGTGCCATAATATAACCTAATAAAATTTAAAGAATAGAAATGATATAGTTTGTTCTTAGATCATAATGAAATTTAGCTAGAAATTAATAACAATGAAATTTTGAAAATCCCCCAATATTTGGAAATCAAACAAAAAATTGTAGACAATCCTTAAGTCAAAAAGTAAACCTCAGACAGAAATTAAATAATGTTTTAAAATGAATGAAATTAAAACATAACAATTCCAATTTTGTGGGATGCACTTAAACCACGTTTAGAGAGAAGTTTGTAGCATTAAATGCTTATATTAGAAAATAAGAAAGATCTCATATCAGTAAATTAAGTTTCCACTTTAATAAACTAGATAAAGAAGTGATAAAATTAAACCCAAAACAATTAGAAGGAAGGAGATAATAAAGATAGGTGGGTAAATCAATTAAATCAAAAGCAGAAAACAAGCAGAGATCAATGAAACTCAAAACAGGTTCTTAGAAAAGATACAAAACTGATTAGGGAAAAAATAAAGAGGACATAAACTACAGCATCACAAATGGAAAAGGAGCCCTCATTGCAAATACTAATAAGAGAAAATGACCAACTTAATGCCAATAAATTCAAGAATGCAGATGAAATAGAAAAAAATCCTTGAAAGTCACAAAATATTGAAGCTCAATCAAGAAGTAATCTGTTTAGCCCTGTATCTGTTAAACAAGTGGAATTCATAGTTCATCTTCTCACAAAGAAAAGCCCAGTCCCAAATGGTTAAATGGTGGATTCTAACACTCATTTAAGGAAGAAGGAATACAAATTTAGTACAATATCTTTCAGAAAAAAAAAAAGAGGAGGGAACACTTCCCATTTTATTTTATGAAGCCAGCATTATGCTAATATCAAAACCTAACAAAGACAGCACAAAAAAAGGAAAACTGAAGCCCATGTCCCCCACTAACAGAGACACAAATATCTTCAGCAAAATATTAGAAAAACAAATCCAGCAATACATGAAAAGAATAAGACATTACAACCAAGTAAAGTTTATCTTAGGAGTTCAAGTCTGGTTCAACATTAAAAAATGAATCAGTATAATTTACCTTAGTAACATGCTATAAAGAAAAAAAGCTTATTATTTTTTTATAGATGCAGGAAAATCATTGAACAAAATCAAATTCATGATTTTTAAAAAATTTTTTGACAAAATTAGCAATACAGGGACAATTCCTCAGTTTGTTAAGGACACCTACAAAAACCCTACAGATGACATACTAAGGTCAAGAAACAGTAAAGGATCTCTGTTTTTATAATTTCTATGCAACATTTACCATACTGCAAGTTCCAAGAACAAACAAGGCTCCTAGAACTAATCAGTAATTTTTAGCAAGGATACAGGATACAAGAGCAACAAAATCAAATGTCAAACTAATTCTAAAATTGACCGAAACAAAGGACCTAAAATGGTCAATATAACCCTGACAAAGAAAACCAAAGTTGGTGGTCTAAACTATCTCATTTCAAGAATTATTATAAATCTGTGGTCATCAAATCACATGATGTTGGCATAAAAATAAACAAATAGTTCAATGGAACAGACTTGGAGAATCAAGAACCAGACCTACATTAAATGTGATAAATTGATTTTTTTACAAAGTTGCAAAAATAAATCAATGGAATAAAAACAGTCAACTCAATAAGTGGCATCAGAGCAAATGGAATCCATATGCAGGAAAGTGAACCATGACATATACTTTACAACTTTTACAGATTAACTTAAAATGAATGATGCATCTAAACATAAAATGTAAAATCATAAAAATTTTAGGAAAAACAGGAGAAATTTTTCAGAATCATAGGGAGGTGAGGTGTTCTTAGATTTGACAATGAGAGCATGATCCATAAAAGAAAAAATGGTGTTTTTATTCCATAAAAAAATTGAAATTCCAGTTTTACCAAAGATACTATAAAGAATGTGAAAAGACTACAGAGTAGTAGAAAATATTTGTGAATTACATACAGAACAAATAACTTGTATCCAGAGACAATACAAGTAAAGCCCTTAGCATAGTGACCAACAGCTATAAACAGTCAATAAGTATGAACTATTATAAGTTTGTTATGATTGTTATAGAATTCTTTAAACATGAGAAAATAGAAGTAAATCAAATTTTGTCAATTGGGAAATATAAGTTATGATAATACATTTATCACAAGGCAATGGTCTAAAAGAAAAACAAAGTAAACTTATATGTGCTAACCTGGAAAAAATATCCAGAATTATTGTGAAGAAAGCAAACTGCAGGACAATTACCATAAAGTGATCCATTTGTGCAAAATAGTTACATATTTTCTGGAAAATTTTCTAGCATGATACTACACTGCTAACAGCTGTTATCCCCGGGGAGGGGAGTGGAATAAGAAGGGGTGCAAAGGGAAGATAGGATGGTGGAAGAGGGGACTTTCTCTTTGTGCTTATTCCTATATTGTTTGAATTTTTACTGTAGGAATAAATCTCTCTATTACTTGTAAAACAAAAATTACAAAAGAAAAAATTCAACTAACTTTTAAAAAATCAGTAAGCAAGAATAACTTTTGGTTGCCTTGGCTAATGGAATGAAGTGGATGAAGTACAAGCTTAGATTGAACTAACCATTTTGCCTAAACACAGACTGAGCTTGCATTTGTGGTACTGATGCAGTGCTGCTTGCTGACCTGCCAATACAAAGAACTGAATTATTGTCCTGGTTGTGCCACTAGCTTTGGTTGGTATTGTGTTAAACATGTTAGATTATGAACTTCTTGAGGACTAGGATCAAGTCTTATTTCTCTGTCTTCCCAGCACAAAACCTCTAAAGAGTTGGTGCCCAGTTCATGGGAGGAAGGAGAAACTAGTTGTGACAGGAGCTTAATTAAAGCCTTTAAAGCCTTAGTGAATAACAGCTCTGCCTAGGCCCGTGGAAGTGACACACGATCGACATCTAGTGGCTAAAAGGGTTCCTGCAGACCTTAATGATAGAGGAAATCGACTTTTCTTTTTGAGGTGTGTTTCAGAGACCCATGCTCTAAAAACATCGAAAAAGGAGCGCATGAGAGTAGAAATAGGTTTTATTCTCTTGTTTCTTTTTAGTGTTAATGAGACTTTAAGCAACTGCACAGTTAGGGAAGCAGCTGGATGAGGTAAAGCAGTGAGATATAAGCCTTGCTCTTATGGACTCTTGGACTCAAAAAGAATGATGCAGGGACATACTTGTGGCTAATCAGAGAAACGTTACTGCTTATCTATCTACCTTGTCTATATGCTAAGTAGAACAACATTCTCCTAAAATGTTGCTCATAGGTGCAAACAACAAAAATCTTTTCAAAGACACCAAAGAGTGAGGAGTCTTTCCCAGGGTGAATGGAGAAAGAGTCTGTGAAAAATTGTACTTCAGGAAAAGATCCTGTCACAAATTCTAGAAGTATTCATACATTACCTAAGTTTTCTTTGTGATCTTGTCTCTTCAATTTCCATACAATGTGTGCTCTTAAATGTGGGAATGAAAAATATTGCTGAGGTAAGGGACAGCTGTTTGAGAGCTATAGACAAGAGCACCAGGCTGAACAGGCATTTGGCCCTGGTTACGTCAGATCGGCGCTGGCATGGGTGGATTTGTTCCCACCCCAGTGTTCTACAGTTGCCAAGAAATTAGAAATTATGAATAAGATGGATCCATCAGGCTACTCCCAACCAAAAACTTTTTAAAGCTCTAATATCTATTTATATGCTGCTCCCAGAGGACTGAAGTGTTTCTTCCTAGTTGCTTGAAGAACAAGCTCAGTAGCAATCAGGTCTTTAAGCAGAATGTTTTTAAGACCTTATCCTGAGTTCTCAGGATGAGCTGTTAGTAGCATAATTAAAGACGGTAATAGGATGTGTAGGAAGATGTGCTTTTCCAAGTGTCCCTTATTTCATAATAGTAAAAGTCAATCATTCCTGCTGGACGAGAAAAATGCGGTGTCAGCATTAAAAAAAAAAAAAGCTGAGAAGCGACACGAAGAGAAATGAGTTCATACTATGTAGAAGACTGTAGACAGGCATGTCCCTAGTGATAACTAAATGAGAGATGGCTCCTTAGAGTCCAAGGGTAATGCAGGAGCCTCCCTGCCTGCTGTATCCAGGCAGGTTTCCTCTTGCTGTCCACTTCCCTATCCCTTGCCCTGTTCCCTTCGCTGGGCAATGGGAATCAGATCCACTTCCCGCCAGAGGCAGGAGCACTCATGGAGATGTCTCCCTGGTCTCTCTAGCACCTGGACTTGTGCCTGAGGCTTCAGCCCCAACCCACCTCCCTCTGCCAGGGTCAGCAACTGTCCAAAGCCGCTGAAACCCACAAGCAAGAGCCACTGGGATCTGCCCCGCTGCAGGGCACAGCCGCGACGCTGGCTCGACGTGCAATTTCGCTTTCCGTCGATCGGCCTCGCCTGCAGACAGGGCTCTGGGAGCGGCTGCATTTGGCGCGCCCAGAGCCCTGGGGCTCCCCGTGGCCTTGGCGCGGCCACTGCACGGGCAAGGGTAGCAGGACACGAAGGCCAGGGGTGCATAGCGCCCCTACTCACGTAGCGCTGCAGCTTCCTCTCGGGGGGCGACTTGACCAGCCAGCCGGTGCACACGGCGTCGCCCGTGCTCATCGTGGCCGCTGCCGCCGCCGCTTCCTCCAGCTGGGCCGGCCGCCTGCAGCAGGAGGAAGTCGGGCCAGGGATGCTGGCGGGGCGGGCCCAAAGCCCGCCCGCCCAGCGCCGCTCCAAGAGGCCGCTGCGACCCCCACCTCCGGCCACCAAGGCCCCCGGGGAAGGGACAGGAGCAGTTGCACGCAGTCTTAGACGGCGGGAAAAAGCAAGCAACGAAGTCGAGAAAGCCCCTTCGAGCAAGTGCTGTGACTGGGGACCCTGGGCAGGGCGCCTTGGCGCTCTCACTCAGGGGCCCAAAGGACTGTGCTAATGGCAGAGCCCAAGCCCAGAGTAGCAAGGGCCACGGAAGAGCGCCCACCGAAAGAACTCTGTGATCCAACGGGAGCACAGCATGTGGAACTTATTGCCTTCATCCGCATCCCCAATCAACCACGTCAACAAGGGCTGGTCTCTGGGCCTCTTGGGGCACCAGAGCAGAAACCTATGACCCACTTCTGCCATGCATATAGTTCAGAGAGGAAGAAAAAAAAGGACTCCTCTGTGACTTCCCTGTCCACTTGATTATTTGCAGAATACTGTGTTTTTTATGCTGCTCCTAAAGATCAATGATAACCTCAGCTGGCAAAACTGTTTAAATGTCTTAATGAACCCAAATGATCCAAATTCAAAAGTTAGTGAGTACTATTAGCAATTTCTTTGACTCTAAGATTTAAAAAGATGAATCTAAAGTTAATTGTACCAGGAAGTATGGTAAGAACTCTAAATGATAATGATAACAATAAAAAGACCTGATATTTATTGTGACATTTGTCAGTGCCAAGCTAACAATATGCCATTTATGGTCCTAAGCACTTTACAAGCATCACCTCATTGGATCTGCACAAACATCCTATCCAATGGGCCGTGTGGTTATCTCAATTTTTTCAGGTAAGTAAACGAGAAATAGGGTAATAATATCATTTGTTCAGAGCCACACAACTGAGAAATTATTCATAGGTAGTCACAGCTGTTTGTCTCAAGAACCTCCTGCCAAGCACCACTCTCCACTCTTTAGGAACATACTTTATAACTGAAAAGCACCATATCAAAGTTAGAACCAGGGGCTGGGATTGTGGTTCAGCAGTAGACCGCTGGTCTAGCATGCGCGGGACCCACGTTCGATCCTCAGCACCACATAAAAATAAAGGCATTGTGTTGTGTCCATCTACACCTAAAAAAATAAATATTTTTTTAAAAAGTTAGAACCAGTATCCATGATGTGGTAACCATCTCTGTGATGCTTGCTGGCATCTGGCCAGCTCCCTGTTCTACAATGCTCTTTTCACTGGGTACAATGCTTCTCACTCGGAAGTGACACTTGGAAAAAACAAATGATTTACAAAGAGAATTCTTAACCTGATACCCTACATATAATCAGAATTTCCAGGGAGAAATGTCTATTTTTTTAAAAAAAATTATACCTTTATTTAATTTATTTATTTTTATGTGGTGCTGAGGATGGAACCCAGAGCCTCACACATGTGAGACAGGGGGTGTTCTACCACCAAACCACAACTCCAGCCCCCAAGAGATGACTATTTTGTATGGCAGGGTTCATTTGGCTTCTATAATCAGTCAGGGATAAGAGAGGGAAGAGAATTTAGATGTTGCAAGCAGGAGGGGATTTATTTTACAGAGGTAGGTACTTAGAAAATCGTTGGCAGTGCAGGAGCAATGAGATCGGGGGTGCATCAGAGTTTGGACTTTAAGGCACACCACAGGAGCTGCAAAGCAGAGGCTTGGAAACAATTTCTGGCACAAAGCTGGCTCCAGCTGCTGCCAACACTCACATCTCAGAGCCCGCTTATATTCTCACCACCACTGCAACCATCTGCATCCTCTCTGCATTCTAAATCTCACACCAGCTAATCTGACCAGCCAAACCTAATTGACATCCAGAATCTAGATTAGAGAGAGCATTAAACACCTTTTTAGCTTTTCCACCTCTCCAATATAATGAGTGTGAAATGGAAGTTGAGACACACAGAACACCACCTCCCTAGCTACTCAATATCCACACAGACTTGTACACAAAACAAAAAGGTTATACCAGTGTCTAGAAGAGAGTGGTTCCCCTCCTAGTTCAAGTACCACCCTACATCAGTATCTTATAACCTAAAGAAAAATGATAAAGCTAACCCCTATCAACATTTATTTCATACATACAAAAAATATAAAGAGGAAGATGGAAAATGTTCTGTGGGAGGGGCTACTACAATTCTCATTTCTGTGTCTGGTCATGAGACCATAATTGGTATTTATAACTTCCTTCTTCCAATATTCTACTGTTACTCTCCTCAAGAGGTCACAAGTCTTTGCTTAGTGAGTGACCCAAACCAGTATTCCTAATAAGTATGGATCTTCAGTGGTGCTGCTTAGTCATGGAAATATTAGTAAGTGCCCCAGAGAATCCCTTGTATTGAAAACACAGACTACCTGACCCCATTATTTAACAATAACTGTATTTCCACTTGATAATAAACATCAATCATCTGAGCCAATTCAGTAGGATCTATGGTTTGCCAGTTGGTTCAATGGCATAACAAATGCCAAATGGGGCTGTGGGCTGGGGATTATTGCTCATTGGTGGAGCACTTGCCTAGTATGCAAACATCCTGGGTTCAATCAGAATGATAGTTTTTCTCACTGCCAGAAAGAAAGAAAAGGAAAGAAAGAAAGAAAGAAAGAAAGAAAGAAAGAAAGAAAGAAAGAAAGAAAGAAAGAAAGAAAGAAAAGCATTCCATATGATTGGATGGCAGTCTCAAGCAACTTGCAATGGGATAAAACCAATGTTGCACCATTGGTGCTTCCCGGTAATAAGATACATTGTAACACCAGTTTTGCTGGTGAACATGAGCACACTGACATGTGTCTTTTTCCTTAGGATGGTTTCCTTGGTCAGAATGCTATTATGTGAGATATTGCACATACAAATAGGGGTTCAGGAACTCCATGGGGGAGAATAAGCAGAAATGTGGGTTCAAAAAAATCCATGAACAAAATAAATGCCTATTTGAGGAAAAAAAAATGCTGCTCCTCCTAAATGGATTTCATCAGTCTGCCACCAGGTGCCTGGCTGGTCCCTCCAGAGAATGCTGCCATAACTGGGACTCTTTGTTGGTCTCAGTTTGGGGCAGGTTGAGCTCTTAGAAGTAACTGTAGCCATATCAAATGCAGTAAATCCTTGGGAGCTTCACTGTTCATTACTGATTCACAGCCTTGCTCACACCTTTATAAAGGCACTCCAGCCTGGGAAGAGGAGAGAATTTTAAGGCTGGGGATGTACCCCAGTGGTAGAGCGCTTGCTTAACATGCATAATTCTCTTGTTTGATAAAAAAAAAGAGAAAGAAAATAAAAGGTTTTGTTTGGCAGTTCATTTAGTATTATAAATCTTATAAGTACAAGGATTTGTGGAAATAAACGTTCACTCTTACAGAAGAATTTCTATTTCAACTATGTCATAATGGGCATGAAGTATGCATCTAAATTATATGTTACAAAAAGAAAAGAAATTTGAAAAGAAAATTTTGAATCATGGAGAGATATAAGGAAACAGCTATACTTGTGTGTACGGAGTGCGATAATAATATCAGGGTACTGGGCTTTCTTTATCTCCCACTTCCTATCCACCTCTTGTTTTAATAAATCTATAAAGCCTGGAGTGTCATGATAAAAATTCAGAAAGGGGAACTCTCTTTCTTCTATTCAGGCATCTATAAAATCTCTCTCTGAGAGTGAAATCCACCTAGATTCCATCTGAAGTATGATATTTGGCTTTATTATTGTGAATGATAGTATTTCTCACTTCTTATGAGAAAATACTGATATCATATCCATTATTGTTATATACACACACACACACTCCAGGGATTAAGCCAAAAGGGCACTTAACACTGAGCCATATCCCCATCCATCCACTATTGTTATATTTTAAATCACATGAAACTGTTGTCACAAGCCCAAATCAAATACTTTTCAACTCATTCTGTGAAGCCTGTATTATTCTGATACCCAAACCAGAAAAAGACAGTTTTTTGAAAAAAATGAAATGAAAACTGAGACTGGTATGCCTCGTGACTATAGACACAAAAAATTTTAGCAAAATACTAGCTAAAGGAACTCAAAAAAACATAAAAAGAATTGTATACCATGTCAAAGTGGGGTTTACCCCAGACATGTCAAGGTCATTCAATATATGAAATACAATCAATGCAAGTCACTACATTAAAAGTTAAGAGAAAAAAGTCTTCTTTTATTGTATCATTTAATACAGAACGAGCATTTGACAGAATCCAACACCCATTAATGAGAAAAAAATTCAACAAACCATTAAAGAATATCTACAGGATGTTCTTTAGCTAACATCATATTTCATGGTGAGAAATTGCATACTGTTTCATTAACATTGTGAGCCTAGAGAGGATATCCACTCTTTTTTGTGTGTGTGTGGTACCAGGGCTTTGACCCCAGGGGTGCTTAACCACTAACCTACATCCCCAGTGCTTTTTATATTTTATTTACAGGTAGGATCTCCCTAAGTTGCTTAGGACCTCACTAAGTTGCTAAGACTGGCTTTGAACTCACAGTCCTCCTGCCTCAGCCTCCCCAGCTGCTAGGATTACAACCATGAACCACTGTGCCCAGCTCACTCTTAACACTGTTATTCAACACAGTATTGGAAATTAGGTAGAACAAAAGAAATTAAAAATAGGTAGAAAGGAGACATAAAGGTAAGAATAGAAAATAAATTTTTAATTAAAAAATCTCACATCCTTTTTCATACCTGTCACTCCCTAAGCCAGTCTTTCTCCCAGGCTTGTCATTTCCAAAGTCATAGAAAATCTGTAATTCTATCTGTTCACTATTAATTAACCCACAAATAAACAGATTAAAGAGAGAGATGATATCTTGAGGAACCTATAATTTAGAGGACTTTCCAGCACTATCCATTGATCAGATAATAAAGATGATGTCAAGCTAAGGATCCTGAGATTGACTAGACCATCATAAATCATTTTGAGA